GTTCTTCAAAGTGTTCCATGTAGAAGTTAGCTATGACCGGGCTGAGAGGGCTCCCCATAGCTACTCCATCTTTCTGTTCGTAGAATTCATTGTCCCACTGAAAGTAACTGGTGGTAAGGCAATGGTGAAACAGAGCCGTGATGTCTTCTGGGAACCTCTGGTTGATGAGTGCCATGGTGTCTGCTACCGGGACCATGGTAAATAGAGATACCACGTCGAAGCTGATCAGTTTGTCGTTTGTATTTAGCTTGAGAGCGGGGTGTTTACTTGGCTTTGGCCTTGTGGCTCTCGGTCTTCTTGGGGAGGAGCACGGCCTGGATGTTGGGCAGGACGCCTCCCTGGGCGATGGTGACTCTGCCCAGCAACTTGTTGAGCTCCTCGTCATTGCGGATGGCCAGCTGCAAGTGGCGGGGGATGATGCGGGTCTTCTTGTTGTCCCGGGCCGCGTTTCCCGCCAATTCCAGGATCTCCGCCGTCAGGTACTCCAGCACGGCCGCCATGTAGACCGGCGCCCCGGCCCCTACATAAAATACAAACGAAGGGAAGGGAAGGGAAGGGAAGGAAGGGAAGGGAAGGGAAGGGAAGGAAGGGAAGGAAGGAAGGAAGAAAGAAAGAAAGAAAGAAAGAAAGAAAGAAAGAAAGAAAGAAAGAAAGAAAGAAAGAAAGAAAGATGAGGGTTTCCTCATTGACAAAGGCTCAATGTGTCACCTGGTTCTCTCCCCAGCATGAGGAAGATGACTAAGAAGCAGAGGAATACTCAACACAGTACCTAGATCTCTTCCCGGTGCGAAAAGGGCTACTGGCCGCTTCATCAGGACCAACTCTAATCCTTAGCAGGTCCCCAGCGGTACTTCCCACCAACACTTGGAAAATAAATGGCCAGAAAGAATAGAATATACAATACATACATTGCTAACTAAACATTAACAATCTTCAATTGAATTTCAGAGGAGCCTTGTTTTGTTCTGTTTCGGAGGGAGGAGTGAAATTTGGGTTTGTTAGTCATGTCATAAATATGGATTTTTCCAAAATTATTATGACTTAAGAACCACTTTTGAAATTTTGCACAGCTGTAGTATGTGTGTGTGTGTAAAGATCATATTGTCTCTCAGCTCACATTTCTTGTTTTTATAAGGATTTCAAGGTGCTTATTATTATTATTATTATTATTATTATTATTATTATTAAACTTTATTTGTACCCCGCTAGCATCTCCTGAAGGACTTGATGCGGCTTACAAAGGCCAAGGCCTCAATAGTCAATACACAACATAACAATACACTTAAAGCAAATTAAAAAACAATTAAAGCAGTATTAAAACAACAAAACCACAAGCAATAAACAATACATCAACAAGATAAAACTGGGCCGGGCCAGAGTAAAGGGTACAGGATTAAAAAGTGCTGATGTGACTGGTGATATTATAGGGCAAGTGCAGTGTGCAGTGTGCGGCAGTCTTAATTCTAATAAAGTGCTTCTGGGACTTGGTATTGGAGATTTCCTAATCGGGAAAGGCACATCGGAACAGCCAGGTCTTCAAGTTCTTTCTGAAGACTGCCAATGTAGGGGCCTGTCTAAGATCTTTGGGGAGAGTGTTCCAGAGACGGAGGGCCACCACGGAAAAGGCCCTGTCTAGTGTCCCCACCAAACGCGCTTGTGACGCAGGCGGGATCACGAGCAGGGCCTCTCCGGATGAGCCTAGTGAACGCGTGGGTTCATAGACGGAGATGCTTTCACGCAGGTAGGCTGGTCCCAAACAGTTCAGGGCTTTGTAGGTAAGCACCTGCACCTTAAATTGGGCTCGGAAGATAAACGGCAGCCAGTGGAGCTCCTTGAACAGGAGGGTTGACCTCTCTCTGTAAGGAGCACCAGTTAACATCCTGGCCGCTGCTCGTTGGACCAGTTGGAATTTCCGAGCCGTTTTCAAGGGCAGCCCCACATAGAGCGCATTACAGTAATCCAACCTAGAGATGACCAAGGCATGGACCTTAATAAATGTCCTCAGGGCACAAACATACATTTTAACTGTTTTTGTAAACTATTAAGAACTAGATCCAGGGTTGGGGAACTTTCTTAAAGAACTGCTGAACTTTTGTGTCTGTACAACTGACAATTCAACCTTCAACTCTACTGTGACTATTCCATCCTGAAATAAAATGAGAAATTTTGTGGGCTACTGCACACAGATTTTCACAATAGATCAGTGCAATTATTTAACCTCAATGCATCTCTAGTTGTGTTTCACTGGGGAACTAATCAGCAGCTGATGACTAGAGTTACAATACTCAGCATGTTTATGTGACTCCTATTGAAATTAATAACTTCTGACTTTTGCAGAAAATAACCAGCCTGTGTATGTATGCACATGCAGGTATATCTGTATCATCAATATTAGTCTTCATTAACATCAGTTATTGATTGCATGGCCTCCATTTTGTATGTTTCAGAATAAAATAAAATTGTATCTTTGGGAAGAGGTTCATAATATCTTCGTAGATATATCCACAGATCTGAAATCAGCTCAACCAGTTCTAATTAAACCTAATCTGTAAAAATATATGATTCATTTTCTCATTTAATGTGTTGTATGGTGGTCACCCCTGTCTCAAGGTGATGCAGTCTCCCAAACCTTTTTCAGCCATGCCCCACCTAAACATCTCTAAAATCCCGATGCCCCTCCCACTTCACATGAACTCCTATCCAAATGGAGGAAGCATTTCTTGGTAGCAGTTCAATGGCACATTTGGGATTCTTTTGCCATAAAGGGAAAAGGGCAGTGAGGCTAGGTTCAAAACTTCAGGTCGTGGGTTTTCTGACATTATGGTCAATGCCATTTGTTGATGGTTAATGATGTGTCAGTGCACATTCTTTCTGTGCTCATTATCTATTCAAAAGTTTCTTTTTCCTGGAAAAAAAATAGTGCAAGTGTTTTAAATAGCTAGCAAGATGTCAGGAAAAATTACAGGGATGGAAAATGCAAGTTTTGTATGTTCAAATCTGAGAAATACCAGGGAAAGAGAGTGAGTCAGCAATTTGATTTTTAAGGGGAGCAATTCAAGAATAAGTTACTAACAGTTTTTTGTTTGCATTTCTTATAGTGCTAGGGGCCTCATATACAGTATATAAATATATACTGTGGCATAACCAGTTTTAAAATTAAAATCAGAATGGAGAGCGGGAAAACCTGCTGATAGTAGTGTTGACAGCATAGTGTTAGGAGTGCATGAGCACAGAAAAGTGAGGCAACTTTCCTTCCAAACACCGTACTCCTCTCAAAGTTCTTTTACATTACAAGCTACACAAATGTATAACAACATCTTTTTGTTCTGCATATGAATGTAGAAAGAACTGTGTGAACAAATCCAAAGCATAATTAGGTTCTTGTGGGTTTTTTCGGGCTATAGAGCCATGTTCTAGAGGCATTTCTCCTGACGTTTCGC